CCCAACCCACACTGAGCCGAGCTCAGCCAAGTTAAGCTGAACTGAAATGTGTTAACAAGGACAACTCTGCATAGCTCTGGTTGATTCTGACTGATCGTTGTTCTGCGTTCATCCAGACGGGGATCATGGCATGGATAAAAATGCCCACTTTATTGTTAAAAGTATTGGCCAGGCTCTGCATTAAAATGCAGAAATTCAGTTTAACTACACTTTACCATCTAAATAAATATGAACTGGGTTCAGTTTGTCATTATCTTAAGGAACTTTGTCATAATTCATTACAGAAAATCAAGACATCAGGTTTTCTGGGGGTTCCGGAAACAAACGCTTCGTCACCCAGCATTTTTCCACGCTTCAGGTTTGAGAACATGTCGCTCCAACATGTAAAACAAGGCAGCTGCTGTTGCTAGTAATGTGAAGAACTATTTTGTTTACTGTCGTGTTCTTAATTATTACGGAAAATTGCGTTTACAGCTGCAACAAAATGTCCTACACACATTTTTAAATAACAGGTCTGATCTAAAATAATACACTCTATAAATCCATCTAGAACCGCACCGGTACTTCTGGACCCCGGAGGCCCATTAGCATGACTGCAGCAACATTGCTAACCATGTTAGCTCTGGTTATAAAAAAACAGTCATTTGGGAAAGCTACGACACACACACACACACACACACACACACACACACACACACACACACACACACACACAAATGAACCTTTTTAGGTCTGCGTCTGTGTGCGATTTCCTGTCATCTGAGTTCACTGATGAGTTCATTTAACATCTAGTGTTACTAACTCTCATGACCGTGTTGTTTAACTGTGTCGCTGTGCTGAAAGTAGAATGAAGGAGCGTCACAAAGCCGTGGCTCAGTTGTATTCCTTGTGCTTCCCTGCCGATCTTAGTCAGGACTCTGAGGTGAACCCATTACTCGTGTACATGTTATTAGCATTTAGACAGGCTGGGATCATAGGATCCACACCTACACGTCCCCTGTCAGTGGTCCTAAGACTGCAGTTACACACAATGAAGCAAAAGCAGAAGAAGCAGCAGAGCCTGAGATGAAATTTCTATTTCTGTAGCATTCATCTGTCATGGAAAAATGTGATAGAAAATGGGATGTGAGGACTCCATTTGTTTTCTTTCCCTGTGATGCATGGAAACGTTTACTGATGCAGTTCTTGTTAGCATGATATAAAATGCACCACGTTGACCTTAATAAGTTCAGGATATACTCAGAATGATAGGGTTGCAATGGGAAATGGTGAACCAGCATTAGTAAAGGCTTAACAGTCTTTCCAGTTTCCCTTGCTGGTATCGATATGGAACTCCTTCACCCCATTAGGCAGAGCATCACTTTCACAAATCATGGACAATATCCCAATACTCTGCACATCATGTGCAGAGGATGCTCCACAGGAACTGCTTTAGGCTTCTCACGTGCTCGGAGACCATGTTTGGAGTTGTTCCTGACCGTGGTGTTTTGTCTGGGGAAGGCTGGGCTCAACACAGAGGAGTTGTATTTGCTGCTAGTTCTTCATGTCCGTGTGTGTTTCCAGTCTGAAGTGGTGCCATTTAAAACCAACACAGTGAAACAAAAGTGAGAAGGACAAGCATGTTTTGTTAGCATTGGATCTTGTTTCCCAGCTCCTCTGGTGCACTATTGTGACATGTGTCACTATCGATGATGTAAAAAGTTGAATGAAGTCAGCGTTTCTGTAATTTGTGATCGGGTTTCCTGCAGCCTGAGTAAAGGCAAAGAGCATTTCTATAATGGCTTTTACTTGTTTTATGCACACCTTTATTATGCCCATTTGTATTATTCTGTTGGTCATATGAGCTCATTTTTTCTCTTCCTCTGTTCAGTCTCATCATTTTCCTTTGCCTTCCCCGCCATTATCTAATTGTTCTCTTTATGTGCTTCTGCCTTTTATCTGAAATGTTATATTTCCTCTTGTGTATGTGTCAGCGTGGTGCTGCTCCATCATTACCAGCTGCTTTGACTCAGTGGTCATTGCAACTATCTGGCCTGATACCAGTGACAAGCATCACCTCATGTGACAGTAAACCTGATGGGGGTGTAGGGGTGGGGGGGGAGGCATTGCCAGGAAGGCTTCTCAACAGGTCAGTGGGGGGCTCAGAGAGATGGTAGACAGTTAGGGTGTGAGTGGTTTCCTCCCTCCCTTTAGATTTACTTCTGGTCATTTTCTCAGTTTTCAAACGTTTTTAAAGTAAAATTAGTTGAGATAATTTTCTGTATTTGGTTTTGAACACATACACAAGCTTTGGACGGGTTGTTTTCTGCTTGTTTTTAGGCTCAAAGCAGCAGTTTGTCAACAGGAGGAAACTGAGAATAATCATCCATTTATTCTGCGCTTTCATGCATTCCTGTTATAATAATAAACAACGTTTTTGAGACATGTTCTTGCTTTTTGGCAGCAGTAACAACCCTACAGCCTTCTTTGTTCCGCTTTCACCTCCTAATCAAGGCCCGCAGTAGAAAAAGCACAAAAGAGGACTCAAATGCAGAGCTCACACCGTTTAATAAACTAAAGGGATTCCTGGCAGTAGAGCACAACTGAACAAGTCCAAAACTAACTAAATACACTCTCACAAAGTGTTACCAAGAGCAGGTTCACTTTACTCAAATGAAGAAGGCAAACTGGCAAAGGAATCTGTTTGCAAAGAAGCATAAATGGAGAAGCCAGGACCCAGGTGCAAGACATAAGGGTGATTAGTGAGGAGCCTCAGGTTGTGAAGCTGCCTGCAATGAGACAGGAAGTGAATACACAAAATAAAACAGGAAGTACCAGAAATACAATCAAACCAGAAACATGACTGCAAAGCACTCAACCTACAGAACCACCCATGACATGCAGACTCGATTACTTCTGTCGTTTCTGTAGATGTGGAACAGTCCGACTTTAGGCTGAATCTGCTGGACATCTAATTCTGGAGAAGGACTTAAATGTTTCCCACTTGTGAATTATATCGTTCTCTGTGGAGTGATGGACTCCAGGGTGACCACAAATAACCCAGAACACAACAAAGACTCATGGGCATCAACAGTTTCTTCTCTGGAGACAACGTATTGACAATAACTCAGCTGTTGGCTTCAGAAATCAGGATTGTTTGATCAAGAGCATCTGGTTGATGGTTTCCTGTGGAAACATCAGGGATGGACTTGCCCCTCTCCCTCATCATGTGCGTAAAGGTTGGTTTATGCTTGACGCGTCCGCGAGGTCCGCACGGCTCCGCATGGCGAAATTGCGTCATTTTAACAACCACGCCCCTCCTCCGCACGGCCCAAAATTTCCGCAACGAGCAACTAGGAAAATTTCTAACCACGCGGACGGACGGACGCGGAAAAACATGGCGGACCAGCAAGAACTAGTACGGCAGAGGTTCGTAAATACAGACATTTGTATGATTCAGCTCTCAGAGATCACCGTGATCAACATGTTAATAATTCTTGGAGAGAAATAGCTCGCACTGTCGGAAAAGACGAGGACGCTGTTAAAAATGCTGAAATGCCATGTTGTAAACAGTCATTTCTACTTCTACTATGGTGCAGTGTTGGGTGCATGCCGTAGAGCTCCATGCTGCCCCCTACAGTTTGGGAGAATATTGGCTCACCGCAGAGACAAGCCGCACGAACCATAAACGCTGCGAGTTGTGAAGCGCGTTCCATCCGCGAGCCGCATCACCGCGCGGAAAGTGAATGCATCAAGCATAAACCAAGCTTAACAGACACGATCTGGCTTCAGCACGGACAGCCGTTTACACTCATGTTTTGAACGTCTCTGGAGATCTGCTCCCATGGGAGCATTGAACGATGAGAACTTTGACCCAAGATGTTTAAAATATACCTGTAAATAAAACATGAGCAACTATCAGGCCGCTACCAGAGACGAGCAGCACATCAGACAACTTTGTCATCACTAATAAAACTAAAGCTAGCAGAAATATCATGACACGGGTTGTATTTTGAAATATACCGGAAACACATCTCACTTCCTGTCTGGCACATGTAATTTCTTCTTCATGAATATTCGCATTCGGCTCTCAGACAAAAACAGAAAACACACAGAGACTCTGGAGCTCATTATCCGGATCTGCACTGCGGCCGGTGTGAATGCCGGACCGAGTCAGGACCTCACTCCTTCTGCATTTGGTGTGGATGAGGTTTGAGTCTTCCCATGCACAGATTTCTTCTCACACCCAACCATCTGTCAGAAGTCTTGGCGTGTCCTAACAGCTGCGTGGTGTTGTAAAAGAGCTGAGACATCACAACCTTTCATTTGTGCCTGGATCCTATTGTTATGGTCCAAGTTTCCTAAAATGGTTTGATGGTTTGCATCCTACAGTGCACTGCTTGCTGGTGCTCTAGTTGTATACTCTATTGTTTTGTTTTTTTACTTTTGCTGCTTTTTACCTGAACTGTCTGCTTTCAGCTGTGACAATGCACACGTCCCACTGATGGGACTAAAGAAGGATTATTTTATGTATCTTATTTTATAATCACCCTCGGAGCACCCTGAACACCTTTACTCTGTCCCTGAGAAAAAACCTTTGTTTGATTGCTATTTAATCAATATCTGCATCAATAACATGTCATCAAACCACACACGATGAATTAAAAGTGTAACGTTTTCATATTTATAATGTTTCTGTGTTCATTTGTTTTCTTCTCTCTACGGTTTTATTTATTACCTGAAACTTAATTGAACACCTCCTGAGGTCATTGTGGATTGATAAATGTAGATAAAACCCAGCCATGTCTCCACAGACACCGAATCACCGCAATCAAAATGGATTCATAACATGAAACAGCTTCAGCTCCTTCAGAGAGCCGCTGCGGTAATGAGCCCAGATTTAATCTCAGGTCTTCGAGAGCGAGGAGGACAAACCTGATGTGGCTCCTATTGGTGTGTTTGTGTGTGTGTATGTGTGTGTGTGGTGCTGACGCTAGCAGGCAGCAGCAGGGACGGGCTCCAAGCTCTTTAAAAGCCGGACCGAGTCGTGGCTCCAGCCAAACTCACATCAACTCTCCACTCAGTTCCACACGTGACGTCATGGTCCCGACGAAGGTAGGTCTACCTGTGGCAGGTGGCTTCCCGTCCAACCTGCTGTCTCCAGCAGCTTTTTAAAAAGTCTCTACTTTTTCAGATGCAGAGGTGTTGCAGTCTTTTTTGCGTGTCTCTTATTTTTTGTGCAACCCTGTCCGAGACCATCGGGCTCGTCATTGCGGTAAGTTCCTGCGTAACTTAGCAACTTAGGGCTCAGAGTGGTCAATGAGAGGATAACTGCTGAGGAAAACTATCATTTCAAACTATTGGATTTAAATAACTGCAATTAAATAATAAAACAACTTTATATTTATGAGAGTTAGAAAACAGCACAGTGCTTCAGATAAAGAACTAAAGCTCTTATTAATGTAATAAATGGTCATAATGCAAAGATGTTTATTAGAATTAAAGCTTTTCTTTAGAAAAACTCTTGATTCCGTGAGGAAATCTGCAAGATTCGTTCATTGTCACATTTTCCATCCCTCAAAGGCTCTGAGACTGGAAATGATAGACAAACATTTATAAATCTATATTTGTTATTTTTACTCTATAGAAGAAGAAGGAGATATAGTGAGCCCAAGGGTGTCGAAGGTTGATGTGTGTGTGTGTGTGTGTGTGTGTGTGTGTGTGTGTGTGTGTGTGTGTGTGTGTGTGTGTGTGTGTGCGCACGCACACAAAAAAAGGGGAAAGCATGGAATAAATTTAGTTGGAAGAGCGTGAGCCTCTGAGGGAGTGTGTCCAAACCCATGATCTCTGAGTCTTTACAGACTTTTAGAGCCAAGAGTTTCATTGTATGAGGGGTGATGTTGCAGGAGAATATTTAACTTAATTAGCAATGCGCCGATTTGAATTTTTGGGCCGATACCGATAGCCGATATTAAGATCACTGTTATGACCGATAACCGATATTTTCCGATACCGAAATTCTGACATTAATGCTTCTAAAATCAACAGATTTTGTATGGAATGAAAATGATTAAAGCTGAATTTACGTTATTATGGACACATGCCACACACATTTATGGTTTTGAGATTATTTAATTCACTGTTCACATGACTAAACAATTGCACATCACCCCCCCCCCCCCCACACACACACACACACCCTCTCAAACAGGCAAACAAATGGAGATGAGATGGAAAAAATATTGGTTGTTGATATCGACCCGGTTTTATTTATCGAACCGATACCGATATGTTAAAAAAGTACTAACATCGGCCGACACTGATATTGATGCCGATATATTGTCCATCCCTACTTTAAATAAGCTCACTGTAATAGTTAAGGAGACTTGTAAAGAGAAAGGAGAACAGAAGACAAGACGTGGTTTCTGTTTCAGGCAAAAGAGAAGCGCGGTTGGACTCTGAACAGCGCTGGATATCTGTTAGGTCCTCGTAAGTACAAACCACACACACATACAGTTTTCTGTGTAACACACAGCTCAAAGGGGACGGTGGAGCTCATCTCTGTGTTGGTGTGTCCATGTCCACTGTCTCCACTGTGTGTGTTTCAGCTAATGAAGTCTGATTTAGACATTACCTTATTAGCCAGAGGGCACGTTAAGTTAACAATGAGTTTCCAGATGTGTGTGTTTTTACAAGTTTGTGGAGGTACAGGTAGTCCAGAACACAAATCCTGGACCCTGAGCCGTGTGTGCGTGTGTGTGAAGACCAGGTAAAGGTTGCCCCTGCCTCATCCTGTGTTTCAGGTCGTATTGATCACCTAATTCAGATAAAGGATTCCCCCAGTGCCAGAGGCAGAGACGAGCTGGTCGCTCAATGTAAGATAGAAACATCCAGCTGCTGCAGGGCCTTGGTGTCACACCAGGAATTGCTCTGTTCAAATATTATCTGTTTGTGTTTCTCATCGCCTAACATCTGACCCTGCTGCCCTGTGCTTCTCTGTGACCCGGCTGCATTTCCAACTTTCATCATGTAATTACTCAGAGGAAGGTGTGAGTCTCAGTGGAATGGTTTCTGGCGTCGTTTGACAATAACGCACACACACACACACACACACACACACACACGCACGCGCACGCACGCACGCACGCACGCACGCACGCACACACACACACACACACACACACGCACGCACGTACACACACACGCACGCACGCACACACACACGCACGCACACACGCACGCACGCACGCACACACACACACACACACACACACACACACACACATGTACACGCACACAAGCACACACGCACATGCGCGCGCACGCACGCACACACACACACACACACACACACACACACACACACACACACGCGCACACAAGAGCCAGTTAGGCCAGACTACAGGTAACCAATCAGCAACAAGTAACATGTTTTCACAAGCAGGTGACCCTTTAGTTCTAAGAGGGAGGCTTTAATCTGCTGACATTGAAGGCATTTCTAAGGATTGCTGCTGTGCCTGCCGTGCATGACGTCACCATTCCTAACGCATCACTTATCTCCTGGTCCCACGCGGCTGTGGACGTATTCCCACAGCGATCACATGTAGTTAGAGTGGGGCAAGCAACCCAATGGGAAGGAGCAGAGTTTCCCCAAACCAGCAAGGCTGCCAGGGAGGGAACCGGTGCCATCCCCCTATGATGGTAGAGGGAGGAGAACTTTCATGTAAAAACCGTGAAACGCGGAGCACTATATTATCTTGTATGTCCATAAACAGCAACTGTATTCAAGATGGAGCATGTGGAGCGTCACCCACAGTTTATATTTGTACACAGATGTGTAATTTCAAGCTAATAGGAGTGTTTAGAATAGACTTTGGTGAGAATTATTAATGAAAAGGACATGTTTGTGAATGTGATACACAAAATGGATTCTAAACAAGTACAAATATTACTCTGTGGCCTTAATGTTGTGGCTAGCTCAGAGTTTAGACGGAGATGGTGTTGTTATGGAATTATGGACATTGCAGCAGGGACTTAACCAGATTATTATTCTCATGATGGAAATTCACTTTTCAAAAGATCATAACTTTTGTTCATCCAAAAAATAAGTGAAAGCTAAACCTATCGACTTGATGTGGATCTGACTCATGAATATTGTGTCCCTCAGAGGTAAAGCCCAGTAAAAAGGTTTGTTTGTCCAGATCTGTTGCCGTAACCATTAGTGACTCAGTTTTAGAGCTCTCCTTCCCCTAAAACCTAAATGTGTGAACATCTAGTGTCAACGTGTGAATCACCTTCATGCTGACTGTTTAACAATTTTTTCTCATCAACTGTCTTGTTTTTCCAGAGGTTTTTTTTTTTTTTTTTTTGCCTTTGGTCACACCTCTGTTTGTTGCAATTCCATGATCCAAGCCCTGCAGGCGGTCTGTAGACGTTTGGAAATTGAACAAAGAAGAAACAGATAAAAATAAATCATGCTGAGTTATCCAACGATGTCCTTATAGCATTTAGAGCAAGTGTGCAATGTGTATGCATGTGCGTCTGCCCTGAAGACTCTGATGGTTGGGTTCTACACACTGTAACTCCCAGCAGGAAACATTCATTTTATGAAATAGTTTAGTTTTAAAATTTAGCTGAAGAAAACTAAAATAACTCTAAAAAAACAGGAACGCAAATATCTGGATGAGCTAGATGTGACTGGAACAACATCCAGTAGAGTCAAATGCTGCAGGGAGATGTCCTGTGACTTGGTTCATCTGTGGTTGCTCCTTACTGTCCAGATGCAATAGGTGGACACAGGACACTGGGAGACAAGGCGGGTCTGGCTGGCAAAAGGGACATGGGCCAGGAGGACGACTTAAGAACAGGTAAGCCAAACAGAGATGTTGGCTGAAAACTTTACTGATGATTGAATGAGGAAACAAAAACAGTCAGCAGCACCGCAGTCTGATGGATCTGTGGGTCTGAGGCTGCTCCGGTGCTGCTGTCCATGGTCCTGATTCAGAGGTCCATAGTCCTGATTCAGATGTCTGTCAGTCAGTCATCAACTCTGCTTGTAAAACAATCATCTCCAGTTTGCTGTTAGATATCAAGGATGTAAGATATGCTGTGTCCAAAAACAAACTTATGTGGAGAACATGGAGAGGGAGACGGCTCCTTAAACAGAGCACCACCTGCAGGTAGCTCAGCCTCTCCCCCAGGCTGACGCTGAAGCCTGCTTAGTGTTGTTTGATATAGTTTTGGGACATAAATGATTGGTTGGCTGTAAGTAATTAAATATTCTGTGTTTGAGCCAATGAGGAAGCCAGGCTGTTACATCTTGGGCCAGGTGTTAATGTGATAATGTTGGGCAGGCCAGCTCTGTGCATCAAGCCCTCCGGGTCATTTCCAGTCTGCGATGAATTTTTGGGCCTGTTGATAACTCTAGTACAGATCTTAAGTTTTGTTGGTTTCTGTATGAAGAGGCAGGAGTGAGTGGCAGTTCCTGGTCCTGAGACAGGTCCAGACCCTGGACAGGTCACCAGTCTGTTCTATTCCTAACCCTGATTTACCTCATATCTCTAAAACTGGGTATTTTGTCATTATGTGGACCAGCCAAATATCCCCACATCCCCATGTCCACACACTACAGGTTAAAAGTTAAAATTTGTCCACATAAACCTATAAATAGAAGAATACACACACACACACACACACACACACACACACACACACACACACACACACACACTTCTATAGAGACAGTTTGACGTCACGTATGAACCCCACATGCATGTTTTGGTCTCAGCCATTCAAGGGAAGAACATGGAAGTTATATGCAGAAAAGCCGTAAGTGGGTGTCATGGTCTGCGTTCTACGTCTCCCTCATGTGTCTCCTTGTGTTCCTCATGTGTCTCCTTGTGTTCTCCATCCCTCTCTAGGTTCCCCTCATGTGTCTCCTTGTGTTCCTCATGTGTCTCCTTGTGTTCTCCATCCCTCTCTAGGTTCCCCTCATGTGTCTCCTTGTGTTCCTCATGTGTCTCCTTGTGTTCTCCATCCCTCTCTAGGTTCCTCTCATGTGTCTGCTTGTGTTCCTCATGTGTCTCCTTGTCTGCGTCCCCCTCAGGTGCCTCCCTGTGGTCCCCAGCCCTCTCCAGGTTCTCTCCAGGTTTCCCTTAGTCACTTTTCTTATCATTAGTTTTTTGTTATTGTAGATAGTTTAGTTTGTTTCTTCCTTTAGGTATCATCCTCCCCTGTCTTCCAGTGTTTTTGGTTCTCTTACTCCTAGATCATTAGTTTTATTATCTTTAGTTCTCCAGTGTCTTATCTCTACAAGTGTTTTAAGTTATTCTGTTCAGTAGCTTTGTTTAACAGGTTTTAGTTGGGGTTTCCTCACCTGCCCTGTTCTGCTCCTCTTAGTTATTGGTATCACCTGTGCCCAATTCTCCTAATCACCCAGCCCCTGAGTATCAAACCCTGTCCTGTCTTTCTGTGTTTGTCGGTCCATTGTTGTGTCAGCGTTGTTCTCGTTCCCCCTCTTGGTCTCTAGGATTTTTGCTACTAGGTCTTTAGGTTTTTTGCGCTTCGGATATTTTTGGTTTCGTGGACATTTGTTCCTTAAATAAAGGATTTTTACATTTATTCCAACTCCTGCCTCGTGTCTCCCTGGTTCTGCATCTTGGGTCCTAACCTCCTCCTGGATTACGTGATAGAGGAATTCAAACTTGCAACCTTCTTTCTGTGGGGCAACCTTGCTTCCAGCAGTACCCTCATGGAGCTTCCTTCAGTCATGCTGAAATACCCAACATAGTCTCTAAAAATTACTACACACTGAAAAAAAACTACAATTTATTAATCTTCAGATTGGTACAAAGTGATGAACTGATGTGTTTCTGTTAGTCTGTACTAGCCGTGGTGGAAACCCGTGTGTTGTTGCTTTGCATCCACAGGTGCTCTAAGAATAGGAGATGAAGACATCATACACACCGTCATTGACTTCCTGTCTTACCTTAAACTTAAAGGTAAGCTTCTCACAGTCTCCAAACCTGAACCTGCTGAACTCCTCTAAGAATCAAACACACAGTTGTGAATAAGATTTAAACCAACATCAGCAGAACCCAGCTTAGTTTAGTCATTGTGATTCTGTTTACAGAAATGGGAGCTTTGGAGAACCTGTCTCCTTCTGCCACATCAGATGAGCTGACCAACCCCTAACTCTGCTGTTTGCCTCTACGATGTTTCAGAGGTTTGCCCTTGATGTGGCACTGTTTTAACCTCACTGACCATCTGTTAGCTAAATGTGATATTTGTGTTTTTATGTAAATAAAACCCTTTATCTACAGAATCTCATTAAGTGTCGTCTGACTTTAAAATGAGTCTTGGTTGTGGTCCTTCATCATTTAATATCCGACTTTAGAGAATGAAGTGAAATAAAGTAAATGGCAGTGGATGTGTTTGTAAATGTATTCATTCCCACTATAATTCTACCTTAAAGTCAAATAAGCCTGTTAGTTCAACTTAAAGCATCTGAACCCTAAACAACTGAGAAGCTCCAGTTATTTCTTGCTTTTCCATTCATTTCTAATCTGAGTTAATTCTATAACGTTACGTTTGGTTTCTACTCCTCAGTTTGAGCAAACTAATGGTTTATTTTTGAAATCTCATGTTATTAAAACATTGAAGAAGGAGTAGAATGTAAAGCAACATATTCTTTGTTGTTGGTTAAACACCAAAAAGTCTAAGTCATGTGAGACCTGCTTTCCTTGTAAAAATGTGAGAGAAAAACTTGTTCTGAGCAAGGCTGTGATCACACATCACACACTAGCCACTCCTGCTACATCTATGTGGTCCAACCCACTTCAGCGTCAGTAATATTTAAACGCTAGTCACAGCGATGCTACAGCAGAGCCACAGTTAGCCAAGTCTCTGTTAGCACCACCCTAAGCTATTAGCTTCAGCTAGCAACAGCCCTGTTCAAAAACAGGAAAACAAGCACTCCCCACTCAGGTCCAGGAGGTACTGGTAACAATCCATGCTATAAACAAATGACAGATGCAGCCATAGCTTTTGGTCTGCTTTTTATTTTTCGTTGTTTATTTGCAACTCTTCTACTAGCAGCCGGACTTTTAACGCACACACTCATTCTCGCTTCCTCAGTAAAGTGGGGACTTAGTGAGGGCTTCAGTTTGACGTTCCACTTTCACTTTTCTCTCTTTACACCGTTGTCCCAGCGGCTTAAATGACACTCAACCCCCATCCCAATATCAGTGTTTGGCACTTAACCCTGTAACATGTTATTTGTTACTTGTCACTGTCACTTCTGAGTAATTTGTTGCATTACAATATTACTGTTTAAAATAGTTATGTGCATTTATCACCTCCTACTGGATATTATTACACACTGACAATAAAACTATTATGAGGGCAGCAGTAACTCAGGAGGTAGAGTTGTACAGTAATCAAAAGGTTGTAGGTTTGATCCCGGCTGCTGCCACAGAATTCTGCTGTTGTGCCCTTAGGCAAGACAATTAACCCATCTTGCCTACTGGTGGTCGGAGGGACCGATGGTGCCAGTGCCCAGCTCTCTCTCTTCCGTTAGTCCACCCTAGGGCAGCTGTGGCTAGATTGTAGCTCATCACCACCAGAGTGTGAATATGTGTGAGAATGGGTCGTATTACTGATGAAGCAACAGTGAAGCAACTTCTCCTTAGTGCTTTAGGAAGTGCTTAGGAAAACTCAGTTTCAGTCAAGCTCAGACCAAATGTTGGGAAGGAGGTGAGGGTGACTGCAGGATTTAAAAATCTGTCTCTTAATTAGTGACACACAGATGTTTACAGGCGAGATTGAGCTCCTCTTACTGAGAACAGTCAATCAAATGCTTTTGTTTCATGATGATAAAAAATGTTAAAATCAACTAATAAATAAACACATGAATAAACAAACAAACAAACAAATAAATAAATGAATAAATAAACAACTGAAAGAAACTGGTTCATTTTAAGTTACAGGAGATCTTGTTTCCCATCTGCTCCTCTAGAGACACCATGGAGGACATAAAAGTCACACAGGGTAGGTTAGTGGACAGGTGTGAGTTAGCTGGTTAGTTTAATCCTAATCCAGCCCACGGCTTCCTGCTGGTATTATTATCAGCAAGAAAAAAAAGGCATCTCAAATATTTTGGGAAGTTAAGGATTTTTAAAAAATACTTTCTTATTTTCTGCATTAAACAGAACCTGGTCCATGCTCCAACATTTCAGAAATGAAACCATTGGCTTCGAACTAAATAACAAACTAAGTCAAACATTTAATTGTGTGTTACTCACTTTACACCCTTGAATTGCTGCATAAACATTTAATTCAAAAGCTGCTCAAAGACATTAAAAGCTAATTTATATGAACCCATTATGTATGTATTATTTTATAACCTAAATAAAGGCAAGAGTTGGACATGTCCTCAAGATTTTCAGTAAGATGCTGTTAGCATCTGCAGAGCATGTTTCTCCCACAGCCTCCCATGTTGGGTAAGGAAACAGACTGTTTTCCTTTGTTAAATCTTCTCAGATGTTTAAAATGTTAAAATGCACTTTTACATTGTTCTAAGGACTGTTGTGAATGACGTGTTTTTAGGGGATGGCATGTCTCAAATATTTAAAGTGACTAGAAGAAGAAGAAGAAGAAGAAGAAGAAGAAGAAGAAGAAGAAGAAGAAGAAGAAGAAGAAGAAGAAGAAGAAGATCTTTTATATAGCGCCTCTCAAGATAAAAAAATAACGAGGCGCTTCACAAAAACAAACAACAAAATGTAAGTATAAAAAGATTTTTAAAATGATTAAAAACATGTTTAAAGGGAGAAAACGACAAAAAAAATTTATTTAAGGAAAGGGAGAGGGAAAATGAATAGGAAAGAGGGAAATCAATGGACCCTGGGAAAGGTGGAATAAGAACAGAACAAAGAGAGAGTGGTGATGAAAGTCATACAAAAGCCAGCTTGAAAAAGTGAGTCTTCAGCTGCTTTTTAAAGGAGACCACTGAGTCCACTGATCTCAGGCTCAGGGGGAGAGAGTTCCAGAGTCTGGGGGCCACAGCAGCAAATGATCTGTCACCTTTGGTCTTTAGCCTGGTGCTGCACAACCAGTAGGCTTTGATCACTGGACCTCAGGGACCTGCTGGGGGTGTAGGGACTAAGAAGATCACCAATGTAAGATGGTGCTTGTACATGTAAGGCCCTATAGACCAGAACCAGGATCTTGAAATGAACCCTGAAGTTGACTGGCAGCCAGTGAAGCTGGAGGAGAAGCGGGGTGATGTGGGTGTGTTTGGAGGACTTGGTCAGAAGCCGAGCACAGGCATTCTAAACCACCTGTAGACGGTTCAGGGAGGTTCTGCTCAGACACGTGAAAAGAGAGTTACAGTAGTCTAAGGCCCTGTCCACACGTAGCAGGGGATCTGCCAAAACGTAGATATTTTTCTACGTTTTGGCCTGTCATCCACACGAAAACAGAGTTTTTTCACACGAAAACGGATCTTTTTAAAAACTCCGGCCAAAGTGAAGATCTGCGTTTTCTCCGTTTTGGGTGTCTGCGTGTGGACGGACAAAACCGGAGTTTTAAGGTCCGCAGCGTCACTTTCCGCGACAAAAAAATGCTGACATCACGTGTGCGACCTGTGTTTACACTAGCCGGCATCATGGAAGCCCTCAGAGCTGCGCTCTGTCACTACCCGATCCATCAATTGTCCAAGCGCTTTCTGCTTGTTTGTGTTTGCAAGAGGAATTACTGCTCCTTGCGGAAGACCACAGACGAAGGGCGAGGTTAAGAACGGGGGAAGTACTGCCGCCTACAGGTCTGGCATGTCCTTAACAACGTATTTATCCGGGTACGTGTGGACAGAGTTTGTTTTTAAAACGCAGTGGTGTGGATGCAAGTTTTTGGAGGGGTGGATATTCGTTTTTAAAAAACCCCGGCTACGTGTGGACTAGGCCTAAGCATGAGGAGATGAAGGTGTGGAGAACTGTCTCAAGTTCAGAGCGGGACAGAATGGGACTCAGCTTAGCAATGTTCCTGAGATGGAAGAAGGAAGAGCGAAAAAGAGAACAGACATGAGAATCCAGGGTGAGAGCTGGGTCAAAGGTCACGCCAAGATCCCTGTCAGAAGGTTTGGTGTGAAAAGCAAGCTGACCAAGAGAGTCTCTGACTTTGGGAACCAGCTTGTCTGGGGCACAGATGAGGATCTCAGTCGTATCTTCATTCAGCTGTAGAAAGCTCCCACCATCCAGGTTTTAATAAGAGTCTAAGCAGGTGTGTAACAGCTGCAGCTTAGACATCTCATGGGGCTTAAAGGAGATGTACAGTTGGACGTCATCTGTTTAAAGATGGTAGGAGATTTCGTTGAAGGGGCTCAGGATGTGCTGAAGAGGAAGCGGATAGAGGAAGAAGATTAGGGGCCCCAGCACAGAACGTTGTGGGACACCATGGGCAAGGGAGGTGGTGGAGGACTGAAACTTGGAGACGGCCACAGAAAATCAATCAATCAATCAATCAAATTTATTTGTATAGCACTTTCCACAACCATGGAAGGTGATCAAAGTGCTTTACAGTACATAACAATAAAATATATTACATAAAACCAGCACAAGTAAAAACTCATAAAGCAGTTACATACAAGTAAATACAACATGTAGAGTGACTAGCTAAAGATCAAGCTAAAAAATACATTAAGAGAGCCAACAGAGGATGGCTACTGATAAGAAGCCTGTTGGAAAAAGTAAGTTTTAAGCTTGCATTTGGACAAAGACAATTAAGAAGTCAGAGAGAAGGAACGCTCAAACATACAAGAGGAGAACCACTCCACAGCAGATCCTGATAGGCCTACCCAGTCTCTCAGCCTCTCCAGTAGCAGGTGATGGTCAACAGTGTCAAAGGCTGCAGTCAGGTCCAGCAGGACCAGAACAGAACAGTCGCCTGCATCACTGTGAGTCAGAAGGTCATTAGAGACCCTAAGAAGAGCTGTTTCAGTAGAATGAGCTCTACGAAAACCTGACTGGAAGCTATCATAGATGTTATGTTCATCAAGAGCAGCTGTGAGATGTTTAGCCACAACCTTTTCCAAGATCTTGGAGATGAACGGAAGTTTAGAGATGGGTCTGAAGCTGCTATGGAGAGAGGGGTCAAGACTTACTGGGACTGATGGACAGAAAAGCACTTTTAAACAAAGATGAGGGTAAGATGTCGAGGGGGCATGCAGAGGTCTTTATAGAGTTAACTAGTTTGGTTAACTCAGACAAAGAAACAGGAGCAAAGCTATCTAGGATGATGGGCCTGGTTGGAGTCGGGAGAGGCAGCGATAAGGCTGA